TTGACTCTTAGATCTATCCACACTTCTTACTTACTATGATCTTCCAATAGAACAGTGAAAAAGAAAAACATGCAAATGGAAAAAAAAAATCCCACTTCCCCACAACAACCCCCCAAATAAAATAGAAAACAAAGATGCTAAAAGAAGGGGAAAAAACCCTAATAATTATTGTTGTGTTGGTGAAATTTAGATTAGAAACAAAACAATCCGACCATTTTATTTTTGTTTAGGACGGAGACAAAAAAAACTTGAGAAATCTTTAAAAGTTTTCATTTTTCAAATATAGTTTTGTTTAATCTAAGAAAAATTAAGGAGACAATTACCACTCTCTCTTTCATTTGGGAGCATTTTGTTTTTACAGAGGGAGGCCGAAGAGAATCTTCCATTGCTAACTGATAAGGAAGGGATCCAAGTTACGATAAGAGATGTGAACTCGCACAGAAAATGGGCCATGAAATACAAGTAATTAATTTTCTCTTCCTCTTTTTAATTACTGCATCCTTTTCCTTAATTAACCCTTTCAAATTCCTCTCGAGTTTAATTATAGGTACTGGGCAAACAACAGAAGTAGAATGTATGTGCTGGAAAACACAGGTTCCCAATCCCACAAATTAACAATATTCTCCAAATCATGGCTTCAAAATTCTTAAATTTTCCAATGTTGAGAGATTTTTTTTTCTTTTTTATGTAGGGGATTTCGTTAGACAAAATGGATTGGTAATCGGAGATGCAATGACCCTTTACGAGGATGAATGCAAGAACCTCGTGAGTTTCCTTTTAATTTATTTTTCAAATTTGACTTTTTTTTTCTTTTTTTTTTTTTAAGACTTGCAATGAAAATAAGTAAGATAATAATGATGAGTGAGTTTTCCTAATATGGTGGTGATGGTAACGCTTGGAAAGACGGGTAGAGAGAGATAAGACAGAAGAATAAAATAAAATAATAATATGGACGAAAATAACACTGGTTTTAGACACGTAAAATACGATGTGTTGTCTTCTGTTCCTATAATTACTTTCTTTTTGACAGATAGGATTTCCTATTATGTGGGGCCATCCAAGCCGTCCGTTTCAATTTTCTTCCCCTCCAATCACCGTTCATCTTTCTTTTCTTCACTATAATTCAAATGACATGATTTCTTTTAAATATAGCTTAAATTTAACCTTTTTTTATGCATTTTATTTTATATTTGAATTTCGATTATGTTACTTTCGTAAAATTTTGAAATTTTGCACTATATTTGTAAACACATATTTATTTTTAACTCTTTCTAAATATATAGGTGGGAGGTCAAATTTTTAACTTTAAGAGATAATTAATAAGTGAGTGTCTTATTTATTGGTCGATGACAGTCTCTTTCTTTTTGTTTCTATTATTATTTTTCTTGGAGGACTGACAAGCAACTGTTTGAAGACTCTTGTATTGGAGAAATTTTGAGAGGATCTAGAATGATATATGTTTTCTAATCGTGGTTAATTAAAGTTGGTTTAAATACTATTTTGATTTTTTTTTTACTTTGGTCCATTTCGATCCGTACACTTTCAGAACATTAATTTTAGTTAACACGCTTTGAAAATGTTCATTTTTATTTGATTTATTTCGATCACAATTTTAACATATGACATTTTACTCACTAAATTCCTTGAAATGTAGTCATAAACTTGTATTAAAGGATTTTCTCATAGATAAATTTTGTTTAACAATTTACAAATATGGACCAATATGATTACTTTTGAAAGTATGGGTGTAATTCATTGGAAATTGACATATATCTCTTACGAAGAAATCAGGAATTCAAATCCCGTACCCCATTTATTGTACTCGAAAAAATCACTTTTAAAGAATAAAATTAAAGTTGTATGAAGTTGTATTTTCTCTTCCACATTTTTTTGACTAGCCTTCTTCATGAATCATAGCACATCTCAAAAGTTATAATTCATATTTTGTTATTAAATTTCTTCTTATTGTGTGGTTGATCAACTGGATATGATATAAATGATGAATACACAGTACGTGACAATACAAAAAGGTGAGAAGCATTCAAGCATGGAAGAGAAGCAGAGAATTGTGCATGGAGAAGAGTCAGCCAAAATTTACACAAACAATAACATTACCATTAAAGACGAAGAAGAGGAAGCATCTTTAGCTCTATTGATTGAAGAGCTCAAACCGCCGCCCAATCTCACACTCTCACACAGCTCCGATTCCGGCTGCACGACAGCCAGCTTCGAAAGAGGCTGCTACATCACCCGCCGCCAGTCCACGGCGGCGCGTGGGAAAGGGAAGGAGGAGGATTTAGACCACTACCAAAGTATAAATAATAATTATAATAATAGTAATGGGTTTGAGGATTGCTTTGGAGGGCTGGATCCGCTGCCGGAAGTCGGTCGATTCAACTGCTCTCTTTTCGACTACTTAAGCAACGACAGAACGTAACGAACAACAACCCCACCAGTCACTTTTATTTTATTTTATGTGATATTTTATTACAAATTTGGAATGGTGTACTCGATCGGGAGTGCTTTATGAATATTTTTTTTTACTTATAAAAAAGGTTACTAATATACTCATGTTGGAACTTTGCAATAGAGATTTGGAATTGGATCTTAATTGAGAATTGCCAAATATATATGTATACTTTTTCTTCAAGTTAATTATATTTGAGTATGAATAGAAAAAGATAATTAATAAAGAAAAATATTTATGTATATCTATAAGTATGCATGGATTGGGGTGGATTAGAATGATTTTGAATCTAATGCAAAGTGTACTACTACGAGCTGTGTAATTGTAAATTCTTTCAATTATTGATGATATTAGGAAAGTGATGGACACAATATATACTCCGACCTAATAATTAGGTTAGGTTTACTCGTGTTTTATAGGCCTTTAAAGATGGGAACTGTTGTTCGACCACTTTCCATATCCCGAAATATTGGTATTAATTCAACGGCCATAGTAGTGTAGAGTTAAACGGTTGTGAGGTAATTATCCGCTAGTCCATATTTCAACACGTAGTATGTCGTTGTACGTCCTCCGACAACAATATGATATATTCTCACATCTAGACAAATTTTTTTTTTCATTTTGTTTTTTCAAAAACAACAAGAATGATGTGGTAATAAAATCTATTAATAGACGAAACTTTCTCACTATGCCAAATTCATTTATTAAAAATATTTAGAATTAATCGATATTTAATGATACATTTAATTTCAACAATCACTACACATTTTGCTCACTAATTCATATAAAACAAGCAACATGAGTATAGTTTATTATGTGATTAAGACATCATATACTCCTTTTGTAGGAGTTAAAAGGTTTAATATCTCATCCTAACATTTATTGTACTATAAATTCTTAATCTTTCTTCACGTGCTTGTTACTATAATTCTTTTGACTTTAATTTTTAATCATCTGAGAGTAATAAATATCCCTCCCTATAAATGTAATGTTATAGGAGCTATTGTTTGAAACATTTGATTGGAGCGAAACAACCGCACTTTTTCAAACATCTTAAGACAGTTGCTTCTGCTTTGAGAGGACATTATCATATAGATGTTTCGTCATGATCTTCCAAATTCAATCTTTTTTGTAATTATGATATTTTTACCATTTCTCTTCATTTGGTTGCCTTTATCTAATCAACCCCTATTTGTCCGGTATGTTTCTCACATACTCGTTAATGAAATGGTACATTTTTTCTAAAAAAATATATATATTACTCCCTGACCCAATAATTTAATTTCTATTTAGATTGTGTGAAGCACATTTTTATTATATAAACACAATGTAAAATATATATATGAACGACACGTTATTAAATAACAATGCACATGTGATTAAATTTTTTCTATGACAAAAAAATAAAATAGTTTTATTTTTTATTTTAGGAAGGAAGATATATAGTTTCTCTCACTATGAAATGTAAATACAATCAATCAAAATTAGATCAAAAAGACATTTAAATAGAAAACATTGAAAGTTGGAGGATAAAAGTGAAGTTTTTGTAAAATCATTAGGAATTGTTTTTAGTACAACAAAATTGAGGATCTCTAAGGATAGTTTGGGTGGCTTAGGACTTCAAAAAATATATATGAGGTTTTGAGTTCAAATCACATAGAACGCTTTTAAAGAGGGATCATTTTGGTTCTAAATTTACGTCAGAATTTTGCAAATAGAGAACAAAAGAGTCAATTTTTTTTTTAATTATAGACACTAAAATATAGTTTTTGAAGACTAAAATTGACATTTTAAAAATAGGAATAAATTGAATGAAAATTGAAATTACAATGATGAAAATAGTATTTACCATTTAATAATTATGTATGATCCAGAGACTAGAACTAAATTTTGTCAGAGTTGTTCATTGAAGGGCAAAAAAAAAAAAGAAGGAATTATCCATTTGTCCAATTCATCATACCAAACGACGTCGTTAGACCCCGTCTTCGCCATACCCGTATAGAGGTCATTGGGGATAAGCCTCTTCCTCCATCTCTGAACCCACAAAACCTCTCAATCCTTCATTCCTTCAATGGCTTCTTCAACTCTCGTTCCGATTTCCTCTCTTTCATTACGCTCTTCTCCCTCCCACCGCCTCCCAATTCTGCCATTAAAGCCTTTCACCGTCCTCCACTCCGCCCTATCCCTAGCCCCAATTTCCTCCTCCTCAATTCTCGCTCCAATTCGAGCCAAATCCTCTGACATTGACACCACCTTCTTCGACAACGTCACTCCCGAAGACGACGTCGTTTACGACCCCCCGGAAGTCCCCGAAGGCTTCGTCGCCCCTCCATCCTTCGACGAGGGTCCGCTGGAGACCGAGGAAGAAATCGCCGCCGCTTACGAGGAGATCTACGGCCCCGCTTACAGCGGAGTCTCTGTTCTGGGAAATGACATTCACGTGATGGATTCTAAGGTGAAGAAAGTGGGCGGATTCGGCTCCAAGGCCAAGAAGGACAAGCTGCGGGATGGATTCGAAGAGCGGGTCGTGCAAGTTCGGAGGGTTACGAAAGTGGTTAAAGGTGGGAAACAGTTGCATTTTAGAGCAATTGTTGTTGTTGGAGACAAACAGGGCCAAGTCGGCGTTGGTGTTGGTAAGGCTAAGGAGGTCATTTCCGCTGTCCAGAAATCAGCTGTCAATGCTCGCCGGAATATCGTCACCGTCCCCATGACCAAGTACCTGACCTTTCCTCACAGGTTCGTGAGTTCATTTTCTTCAATTTTGAAACTTCTATACCAATTTTTAGGCACGGCTTTTCAATTGGTTTGCTGATAATGCGAATGCGTTCAATTAAAGTTAGGAACAAGAGAATTAAGAAAGAGGAGAATTGGATCATTTGATTGCTCTAGTCCTGTATGTTTAGAGGTCTATTTGGATATTCTGATGGTCCAATCCATGGTTTAACTGTTCAATGGATTTTGGGATAGTTAATATGAGCTCTGAAGTCTATAGGCAGTTTGAACCTAACCATCATTGGGAGTTGGTTATTTGAGTTATTTGTTACTTCTGTAGCTGCATTTTGTTGATACTGAATAGTTTCTTTTGGTGTATTTCCCATTTTAGTCTGGAGTTTACTAGATTAGATTATGGAGAACTTGTTGTCCCTACCAATATTTCCAGTGTTCTTTATATGGCTGAAAGGAAAGATTGGTACATAAAAAGTACCTTGATAATGTGAGATGCATTGAAAGCTTTCCTTGAAAAGCCAAAGCTTTGGCTAATGGTCGCTAAGGAAATTATAGTTTGAAAACTCATTTTTTCCACAAGGAACCTCCAAATCATGAATGCTAGTAAAGTAATATATAGTCATAGACTCGTATTTGCGTGTCGGGTCGTTCTGTCGTGTGTGACTGTGAAACAATGGCTAAGGAGGAGGGGGAAAATTGTAGGTCGGATGGAGACTATGGAGCAGCAAAAGTAATGCTGAGACCTGCCTCTCCCGGTACTGGTGTGATTGCTGGTGGAGCAGTGAGAATCGTGCTCGAAATGGCTGGGGTTGAGAACGCTTTAGGGAAGCAACTCGGAAGTAACAATGCCCTCAACAATGCCAGAGCAACGGTGGCTGCCGTGCAGAAGATGAAACAGTTCCGGGAAGTTGCGCAGGAGCGAGGTATCCCCATGGAAGAGCTGTGGAAGTGAAGAGGGAAAGAAAGGGTGAGAGTAATTTTCTTTCCTCTCATTTTTTCCTTTTGACGTATATTAGTGCATCCATTCTTGTAACTCAATGTTGTAAAAACGGCAGTCAGGATTCATTCCTAAGTTACAACAGAAGTGGACATAGCCTTGAAAAGTAAGTATATTTGTTTGATGCTTCACCCTGAAGAAGGCTTTTATAACAATTTTCGGATGGTTGTCAAAATGAAAAAAAAAATGATTTAGGATGTTGAAGAACAGTACTCTAACAAAACCCAACTGAAACTAGGTTGGTTAAAATTTTGGGCATTTTTAGTATTGTAATTTAAGAAATTTTACCTTTGGGTTTTTCAGTTCTGAATGTTAAAATTTGTTTCATTTTCTGGTCTGTTTTAATTTTTGCACCACTTAATACTTATCTCAATCGATGTTGTCTTCAATAGATGCTCATGTCAACACTGAAATGCACATATGAAAATCAATTTAACTTTTGGTCCTACGAACTAATGGTTTAGTTCTTCGTACTTTTAAGTTTGTAGTTTCTTTTTCGTTTGTTTTTTAGCAGTAAAAGTTGCAGCCAGAACTTTTAAATTTGTAACAATGTAGTTATTGATCTTTAGCATATAATAATTTAACTTATATATAACTTATATAGTTAAGTTTCTTAAAATTTGGTCGGGATAACAAGCTGATCTTCTCTAAGAGCTCACATCGACAAGAAGGCTTTGCATTTCGATGTAGGATTGGATTGTTCGCCGATTAAAGTGGTATGTGAGTTGGATTTAGAACATTATGATACAGTTTGGTAGCAATGTCACTCGATCATTATCAAATCGACTGCAATCTTTCTATGTTCGTGAGGATCCCGGCAAAGCGCCTTCTACTCCTAATAGGCCATTTGCTTAAAAATTTTATTTTTGGCCATCCGATTTTGATTGACTCTATTTCGCCATTTTTGTGGTAGTAATTTGGACCATCTAATCAAATATAAATTAGAGTGACAATGACTCCTTAACCAGTTTTTCTATTGATTCATTTCATAATTTTGCATAGTGATTGTCCAATGAGATACTACCATAATAATATATTGCCTCATAATTAGTACCTCGGGTTAGCCTATCACATATTACTTGTTTACCACTTGTTTTATTTATTATTATTTATTCTATTAGTATTTTAATTATTTACACATCAACTATTAAAATCATCCGCTTTTCGGAGATGCTCTCAACATGGAGGAACATTGTTTGTGAAAATTTTTATTAAGATTTGATAAATTTTCTAAGGACTCCAAAGACAAATTAAACAATAAACTTTTTAAGACTCACGATTAAAAAATTCGTCTCTTAATTTCTTTATTTTTCAAGTTGGTCTAAAATACACTCTCAGTTCATACTCGAACCAACCCAACCCGTTTATAGCCCGAGTCTAAGCTTCATTAATATTAATAAAAGGAACTCACATTTCACAAATCTGTCTCTACACCATTGGATTTGGAGCCAACCTTCTATCTACGGACTTGAATTTATCAACTTCAGCTAGTGTGGAAGAATGAGCAATGACACTGTTCAATTTACATAGACAAAAATAAATCAATATTGATTTGACGCAACGTTTTTGAAAATCATGTCACTCTCCGGACATTTTGGAGCCCCCACTTAGACATTTTCGATTTTTCAAATTAGCTTTCATCATCACATTCACATGTTTCTAATTCTTATCCTCCAGCCTTGAAGTTCAAATTTGATCCAAAAAATATGGGAAGATAGACAAATCTATGCTCCCAATATGCCTATTAAATCATGATGCAATATCTTCATTTATGTTTCCCAAGATCTCAATTTAAAAAAAAAAAAATTCTTTTTAATCATTTCATGAGTCAGACTTTTAAATTAAAAACAATCCTGGGTAGAGCTTGTTAGCCAAGATTCAATACATGTATTAATTAGTTAAACAAACTGTATAGCCATTCACAACCAAATAAATAAGATCCTACTTCTTGATTTGTGAAAGTTAGATTTGTATTATTGTTTTTTCCTTTTAATCTTTTGAGATGTTATATTTATCTAGGTACTTCAAGCTATAATCAATCTTACCGATCTGACCGATCAAAAAACTTATCTGACCGTTTAATCGGTCAATTTTAGATCAAATACACGGTTAAGCAATTTCTATTTTCGAAAACCAACTGTATATGGGTCGCTATCGATTTTATCAAAAAAAATCGATCCATATACACCCCTACTTTATAAAGTACTTTTATTAACTATTTTTTCTAAATATTTAAAAAATGAAAAAGGTATTATTCGATAAAGTTAGTTGAAAGTCAGTAAATGTTCGAGTGGTCCCGTAACAGTTGACTGACAGATAAAAGTCCAAGAAAAACATTGTAGACAGTGCACATGAAAAAGTTTCAAATTTTCTCATTAATAAGTCCACCCACTTGCTATGCCTACTCCAAACAAGTTGAATGCCTAAAAGGCCCTACCTTTTATGCTCCGAAAAATTCATCCACTGCAGAACTATTCACATAAATCACCTTAAAGATAATACGACTCTATTAATATTATAAACTTTGAACTTAAAAGTCTTATGGCTCACTTTCTAAGCGCTATGATATAAAGATGTCTACATAAATTTAAAGTCTTTTGAAAAAATAATGACTTGTTTGGCAACTATTTTGTTCTTTCATTTATTTAATAATTTTTTTTTAAAATTCTTTTACCTTCTCTTTGTTTTTAATATTTTATGGTTAAACGGTAAAATTTATTTTTTTTTTCAAAAAATGTGAAAAACAAACAAAAATGATTTATGACAAAACAAATCTAATTTTTAAAAATACAAAATACTTATCGAAGCAGTTTAAATGTGTTTCCAAATGGGGGTAGATGTTGGTGAATAGTCAATTAAAAATAAACATAATCTAGAAACAAAATTTTTAAAAGTTCTCTAGCCTCCCTAACGATCTAGCTAATTATTTGTTATTATCTTTTAGAAATATTTTTAAAAATCTAAATCAAAATTTAAAACATTTGATTTTTTCTTCGGTAACAAGGCATTAAAGATGAAAGTGAAATAAATATATATTTTTTTTTTCTTTAATTTTTTAATTTTTGCTTTTTTAAAATCAAAGATGTTGAAAGTTGAAAGAAAAAGGGAGCCGCCTTTGTACATGTACAGCTACAAATTGCCCAGAGAAGAAGAGCAACTCGAAGCTTGACTTTCCTTATAGGAAACTCAACTATTTTTATTTATTTTTTTTGTACTGTCACTTTCCAATTTTAAAACAAATAAACAAATAAA